ATAAGTTAAAATTATATATCTCTTAAATGTACTGAGAATCCTTAGAATCCTAATGTTTATATAATATCATGTCAGAGAAATAAATACTATAAATAAAATAAAAATATATATAAAGATCACATGTTTGTATAGTATCATTATCAGAGTGCGCGCGCGCACCCACAGCATGTAGCTCCAAATTAAGAGTAATGGAAGAATTCAATCAAATATGGTATTCTAGGCTTTTAGCATATTTGGAATTGAAATACTCACACTCAGCAAGCAAGCAGTCTCTTGAGAATAAGCATCTTTGAAGGACACATATGCAGTGCAGGCATCTTCACCAGATCTGTTTTCATGAAACCAGAAATCCTCAAACCAAAGGAGGAAAAATCTAACAAAAAGGCCATAGACTTTATGTGTGCATCACTATTCACTAAGCAGAATCTTTAAACCTAATCGCATTTAGAAAGACAGATTGGAATCTTTTAAATAAACGACTGATTCAGCAAAGATGTAAAGAAGATGAAATTAAATGACTGATACGGAAGAAATGAATACCTAACGATCTCAACAAGCTCGATTGCGCCAGAGAAAGCGAAGAAATCGAAGACATTCTTCTCCGTTGCTTTAGGAGATAAGCCGGTCACTTCCACAGTATAACCACCAGGATTCATGGTTTCGCAGCAGCAGAGCAGTACCTTGATTCACCCCTTCGTCCGTTGAAATATAAGACTTTCAGACTTACGGAAATTTCTGAAGAAAAACGCGAGAAGCTCCCGGAAAGGGACGCCAGCCAGCCGTAAACTGAAGAGCTTTAGACCTCACTGGGCTGGGCTGTCCATTCTTGATTAATAATTTGGGCCTACAAATTTCTGGGCTACGAAAGGAAGCTACTGGATCGGCTGCACACGGACAAGCCCATTACTCTGGCCCGTCGGCTGCACACGCTATAATTTATATTGTATACGATAATCGTTAATTTATTCAATTAGTGAATTAGATATACAATAATCAGAATAGAATAATGATTGCTCAATTTTGATATCGATAAATTTTAATCATGGCTATAATTTTTGTTTTAATGGTAATCAAGGCAATGAGTAACTCATGCGTGTTTTTATTTTTTATTATATTATTTTAGTTATGGATTTTTTTATACTAACACTAGTCTTAAAAAAGTTTATAATGACGGTTATGGCCGATCCTCTGTAATTATGGTATCATATCGGGGGCAAGAGGTGGATGTGTGGATATGAAGTTTGAAGTTCCCATAGTTGAAACAAAATGAAATTCCCACCTGTTGTTCATTTCAGACGTAACATTGGGCCTTGCGTGATGGATAATTTGGGCCTACGAATATATCTGGGCTGCACACGGACAAGCCCATTACAGTGGATGCCCCATTTACAAAGCCTCTTTCTTTCTCTTGTTCAATTTCTAGTTTTTTGTACTTGATTGTTTCCCTATTTTCTAATGCAAAAGCAAAATATGCTCAAAAAGTAGATATTGTCCAAACCCCTAAAAGGCATGAGACTGCAAATTATTGTAGTATAGAATATTGGATGAGGTGGCAATAAATCAGTCGAAATAGTTTTTGAAGCATCTTGAGCAATGTGTTTGGAGTATTGAATCTATTATATGGCGATATTCTATTTAGAAGAAAAGTGGGAATGATTTTGGACAAAGAAATCTGGAAAAAGAAGGGAGAAAAAGGTAAAAGCTTTGAAAACAGAAGAAAGTGGAGTGAAGTCAATCCTTAGCACTGAAAAGATGCAGTGCAGCTAGTGTTTGCACACTACAAATAAAATCTTGCTTCTTTTACAAAGTTACTGTTTTTTATCAAAGTTAATTTACAAAAATTTCTTTTACTGATTGAGTATGCAATCAAAAGTTTGTTGAGAATGCAATTAAAAGTTTCTTCAGCTAGGCAATTGTGAGATTATGACCATAAGTAAGGACATTTTATCTTAGTTGGGATGCGAGATTTTGAATAAAACCAAAAGTAAAAGTAAAAAAACAAAAACTTAAAAAGAGTACATTGGGTCCTTCTACTTTTATAAAGTAACAAGTTACTAAACTCTAATTTCTAATTATTTAGTATTTGTATTTTTGAATTGGTAACAATTTAATCTATGGATTTTAAGTATGTAATAATTTAGTCCGTATAGATTAAAATCCGTAACAATTTGATCTCTATTGTCAAAAAAACTCGTCAATATTAGAAACAACAATTTCTGTCGACAGTAGGTGAGCGGTAGTGTCTTAAACGCCAAATTGCTTGAGATTTTGCAGGTAACATTTAAAACTTGGTTTTATTCTTAATTCTATTAGTAGTTTTCAAGATAGCATATGGTTCACATATATATTATAGGTGAAGAATAAATATGTGAATTGTATTGGTAAGATGTCATCTTTTCGGGTAGATGGCATTCAAAGTCCTTCATACAGACAACTACACTTAGAAAAATAATCAATAATTATTTTCTCCTTTTTAGGGACAGTAGTATTTGACATATGAATAAAATCAAAGTGTTTCTTGAAAAGACAACTTTTTGATGCTGCCAAAATTGTCACATATCTAGACCCATACTCTTGAGTAGACAATAATCATTAAAATATTATTTTAGAAAATTATTCTTAATGCCCCAAAAAGACCGAAATGATTGAGTCAGTGTAGGATCCTAGTAGGTATTTGTATCCTTGGAAATTAATGATAGAATCACGTTTGTAATTCGTTTAGACAATAGACTTCTCTAAATACTTATACACAGGTGTGGGGCCAGAAAATTTGAATTTCTTACCTTTATATGAAAATATCATCATCTATAGAAAAATTATCGTCTCTTCCCACCTTTATTTATTTTATTAATTGAGCTAAATTTTTACTCGAACTTGCGTATACTATTCACGTAGTCTCATCTGATCATCTGAGGAAAATAATTTTCTATTCTTACATTTTACATAAAAGATTTAGATTTTTCTTGTTTTTAATAATGAAACAACATTCACATTCATTTTTGTGGGATGCAGTTTTATGAAATTGAGCTGTTAAATTCTTGGAAATTTAGGGACATGGAACAGTTGGTGGACAAGCAGGAGAGCTACGGGATTTTCATGTTTTTTTTTTTCTTCTTTTCCTACTAGCTAAGATTCACGAGAGCTTCTTCACCCTATGACATTTTGATTCTCCGACCCCTAAATATAATCTTTTTAGTATCAAAATGTAAAGTCAAAGATTCAAACTCGTGATCTTTTATCTTAATTAGAGATAAGCATCTTATCGAGAAAGTAATACAAAGCAATCAACTTTAGTAAATATATACCTTGAATTTATCAAAAGTGGGAGTTCAAATTATGTACTTAGCAGTTAATGGCGTTTAATTTGGTAGGTTGAGTTTCCTGTGATTGAGGATTTTGTTTAGCTGTCTTGTTCAGTTTGGGGCAGTAGTCAGATAGCCTCGTGATCAGGGTATAGAAGTAACACACCCCACGTTTTAATGGTAAAATTAATGGGCAATTAATTTAACTGATGAAAGTTAATTTCTATTTATGGGAATTGGCAAGTATACCATGTGAAATAAACTTATGTGTAACGCTAATTGTTTAGTTTTGACCGATGACTTTTCTGTCATGCTCCTTCTATGTTGCCAAGTTTTGCGCATTAAACCAAGGAGAAGGAAAGATTAAATATTTAAAAAAAAAAGTGATGATATAGGCAGAGGAAAAAGGATTTTCAGAGCTGTCACTCTCGGTCTCAGTAACAACTACTCAGAAAAGACCAGAGAATAGAATAAGATATAAATTACAGATTCTATGAGTTATAAAATCATCAGGAGATGGAGGTGATCTAATAATGATTTTGGTCTTAAATGCGATGCACAATTTCCACATGCTTCAAATTAATCATCTCGATCTGATCATTTTGTTTTCAATAGGAAGAACCAAAACAAATTAGAAAACGCTTTTGGAAACTCTCCCTTTTCTTATGTGGTGTCACAGTCAAAAAGGCTTGGTGGGCAGCAAAACTGCGCGCTTTGAAGGCTCCAGTGTTTCCGTCGGACAGACTTTCTCTAAAAAGTAAGAATAATAGGTTTTATATTTTGCCAAAAAATCAAAAAAAATAACAATTATGAAAAAAGGAAAAATACTTGATTATTCTCGAGGGATGACCAACTTTATCCTCCCATTATTCAATATTTAGTAATTAACACAGAGAAATACAAAAACATATATTTTTTCTAAAAGAAATTGTTGTCAAATTTTTAATGGTGGGGCGGACGGTTGGGTTTTGGCAAAATATACCAAATAGTATAAGTTGTCCCACATCGAAAAGACATAAGTAGGAGGTCTGTTCCAACTACTATAAAATGAACTCATGGACTTAGGTTTTAATCCTCCTAATTGAAATGTTAACTGAACGGTATTTGATTTGAGAGAGTGTTTTATGTAATTGGGGTCGTGGAGAAAAATATGTGTGATTATAATAATTTTTCACACTTGTAGGGTGTGGTTTGTTTTTTTTGGCCGGTTTGAAGTTTTCCAATCTCTTTATGTTATTGCTTAGTAGAGTAAGGGATTTTTCCCATCGAAGACAAGATTAGATTTTTCTTAGAAAAATGAAGCTGTTAAGTTGGATCACATGCAAAATCTTAAAATATATATATGGAATATGATCTTGTTTCCATTAGTTGAGGTTGATGCGTACACATAACCTCTTCTCACCATTAACAACTGAAATCATATATATATAATAGTCTAGACGTACTAAGTACTTTTATTATACTACGATCGAGTTTATATATATAAATATATAGAGTGTGTGTGTAGGCATTATCATGTGCTGCTGAAGATGGAGCAAATTGTGTAGAAGAACTAATGAGATGAAGGTTGTTTAGTGCATAAGTAAGCTTCTAATAATGGCAGCCTGAGCACTTTCAGGATCCGTAGACGCCAATAGCTCCGATAACCGCTCGCTTAGGTCATCCACCTCTCTTTGTAAGCTTCTTATGTAGTTGCACGTCTCCTGCAATACTTTTGAAGCTGATACCTACATTCACAAACAATAATGCTGCACCATTTTAGTATACTCTTGACTTAAAATAACCCCACTACATTTATATTCTAAACAACAAATCAAGGGCGATTTTCTTTTTTCAAGTGAGAAAACTAAGAAAGAGAGATTCAACATCATTCTTGTTAAATCCATTTAACGGATAGATTATATTACATTATTGTAAATTTAATCTTTAATTTATATTTTTAACACTTCTCCCTTACATTTGCGGTTAGAAATTAGGATCAGACCCACCCCGGTATTATCAAATATATAAACTATGGGAAAAATGACATTACAACCATCAAACTTCTTTTGGTCGATTTACACTTAGAATCTCTTGAAAAGTGTAGAGAAATTGAGAGAGAAGAAAACAGCGTACCCTGGAGGAGGAACGGGCATTGCGAATCTCAGGGATGAGTTGCTGTAACTTGGAGATCAAATCAGCAATCTGGTCGTCAGAAATGTTCCTAGAAGGAACAGGCGAGCGTCTGGAACGCGAGCTTCTGCTGGACATTTTTTCCCTTTTTTTTTTTTTTTGTTTTTAAATAGAGAGGGAAGACTGAGAAGAGTGGGTGTCAGAACTCAGATAGATTAGAAGAAGTAGGCATAGGGCAATTGGCAAAGCTAAGGTAGAGGTTCGAGAGTTGAGAGAGAGAGAGCCCAAAGGGAAGTAAATTATGTTTTGTTGGAGAAAGGCGATGGAGCTAAAAAGCTATTTATATACATTATTTCCGAAAAGGGAATTAAAATTAGAAAGAAATTAACAAAATTAGAGGAGGAGGTGTCCAATAATAAACTTGGACAAACAGATATGGGAGCCATGAAAAAGAAACCCCAAATGTTATGAGGATTCGTAATCCACTATTTGTTGGGGTCGAACCGGACAACTCAACCAGTGCATATTATTAAATAATTAATAAAAACAAAAAATATATGTAACCAAAACAAATACCCTCGCATCCACCCATAGCCATACCGTCCCTGCTCCATCTGTCTCCAAACTGGGGCTAAAAACTTCCAAGTGGCTCACGGTTTTTTTTTTTTTTTTTCCCTTACTTTATTTTATTTTATTTTGAGCAGGCCCCCTCTGTGTCAGCTTCAGACTACTGCACACCCATGTTATCTAATTGCTGATTTGATTAGATACATATAATGAATTTGGATAGCGGGATTATATTTGAATTATGGATGCTGTATATACATAATGTCGTGAGTTTAATTAGTCGGACATGGAAGAGATATGTGGTTGATGAAGGGTCAAATTGGATTAAGGATGCATTATCCACGCATTCCGCCACCCTGCCTGACACACCACGTGGCATCTCTTAATTTTATTTAATTAGTAAATGGGGGACGGTCAAAATGGGGTAAGGTAAGAAAATAAAAGGGAGTTAATAATTTAGAGGAGAAGGCAAAGAGGACAGTGACAGTGGTGGGAATGGCAGATGGAAAATAAAATTAATGTTTAAATGAGAAAAGAAGTGACAAGAGAGAAGGGGGCGGGGGCAGGGGCAGGGAAGGAAAAGAAGTTTGTGGCGAGAGGCGAGAGGCGATAGGCCCGCCCGCCAACCTTTCTCAACAAAGGACATTGCCTGTCATAAGCGCCCTTAGGGGTGTTCCCCTATTTTTTCTTGTCATTTCTAGCTCCAAAACTATATCTATAATTATTGCTTCCCCATTCCAACACCCATTTTTCTGTTCCCTAATCATTCTTTTAAAACCTTCTTATAGAATCCAAAAATAAAGTATCATTCTTCTCTTATACGTACCTACAAAATTCCTGATTAAGGATACATTATTTGATTATAAATTTGGTCCGTCTTTATTAAGGATTTCTCTGAATTTTAACAACCAAATCATGTAGCATCCTATCTAATACTTGTAAAGAGCCCAGAGCCAAATATTTTCTTTAAATTAATTTTGATTTAGTTGATATAGATTAGTCCACCCAAAAGTAAAATCTCACAAATTTTGAGTTTGGATGAACCGTGTAAAAGGAAAACATCTTTTGTACTCACTGGTTTTTTCAAATACAATGTTATTAATTACTATTACACCGTAGGGAATTGAAATATGTGACTCCATATCTGGAAAGTTGGTGTAAATAAAGAGATGCTAATTACTCTGTCCACATCAAAAGCAAAGAGAAAAACTTTTTGTTAATTCTTATAGTCTGCTTATTGGATAATTTTATGTAACCTAGGGCTGAGTTTTATATAGATTCAAAATCTTCCACTTCCAAACCTCATAGCACATGCCACTAAATCTATGAGCTTCTAGAATCAAAGAATAAGATCCGGAATCTATTAGACCAATTAAAAAAGAAAAAGAAAAAAAAAAACCCTTAAAGCCTTTATTTGTTGAACGCAAAAGGGGTTGGCGTCGATTGGCATATCTAGCTTTAAGAAAAGCCTTGTTTGACACATGTCTAGAAAAGATATGATTAGTGGAAATGAAAATACTAGTCAGCGTTTTTCAGATTTTGTGTTCCAAAAAGTAAGGAATCATGTGAGTAAAATAAATGCTTGGCAAGAGGGAAACGGCCGCATGAGTTGAAGTTGAAGTTGGAGTTTGAAGAGTATAAAGTTGATGAGAACAAGAGGGAAAAAATTATTGAAAAGTGAAAGAAATGAAAGGAAATGTGTTTCGGTAGAGGAAATGAAAAGGAAAAATAACATCATGTGATAGGTTTTTGGTGAGTGTTTGTTATAGAAATGAATTAAGAAAGGTACTGGTTTATTTCTGTGGACAAACCCAACAAGGCAACAATCCATGTATCAAGTATGTGGGCAGCACAGTGCTGGAGTTTATAGCCATGTGCCCATGTTCCCTGGGCCTTCCTCAAGACAACTCAACTCAATAAACCCTAAACACTCACTTCAACTTCTTCACTGATTGGACTGTCCATTCAATCACTCCTTTCCTTTTCCAACCACAATCCCCAAACTTATTTTTCAACCAGTTTTTTGGTTTCCTCTGCCTTTAATTTGCTTTCTCAATCTCCATTTGGATCAAAATTAAACACACTTCTCATAATATTGCTGGCAGCCCGTAAGTCTCGTAACCTTCAACTCACATGTTCAAATCCTGTCTCTGCAAAAAATTTTTTTGTCTAAAAAATTTTAAGTTGTTTCGATATGTTTTGTCTTCACTCGCATGCTTCGTAAATGAAACCTCCTACAAAGTTAATCAACCTAATATTGTTCATGCCACATACACTTAATTTTGGATTTCTTATAATTGAGCTACCGAAAAAGAAGCCATAACACCTTATTAGTATAAATACTTACTCTCATTTAGGCATGGTATTTGTCTTTCCTCTCTACTCGAGTGTTGCGATCTCAATCACAATCATAATGTGTGTTCTCTTTAATTACAGGGCCATCCTGGAGCCAGTAGCCCAGGGCAAGGGTCTGCCCATTGCCCAAGGCTCCCCCTCATTCTCGGATGGGCCGGCCTACAAATCCACTACCTTTCTGGCAATGGGCCACCTCCTAGAATTGGACCAATTCTTTCCCACCAAGATATATATATATATATCCTTCCAAAATTTTCATTACAATCTATTTAATTCGCATAGATTGGTCCACCACGGGCGGACATTAATACAGTCTAGATATTAAACCAAACAGTACTGTCCTAAGATTTCGGATTTGGAAATCTGAAAACACATGTGGGGGTTTCATGTTTTAACAGGAAAAAGGAAAATCATTAAATACATCGAAGAATCAAACGTTTGCGGTTTGAAATCTAATCGCATTGCTTCTTAAGATCAGGGAGAAGGGTGGTTTCCACCCATTTTGAGAGACGTTGGTAGGGTGAGGCATTTAATTATAAAATCAAAAACAAGAATTTGAGGCATCATAAGAGGGTGTGTTTGTGGTACTTGGACCAAATAGTAACAGTAACATCTCTCTCAATCATTATCTTGGAATCCCACTATTATATTATTGTTATTCCATAAACACCCAGTTATTAAAGTGTCTAAAAGGCTCCAGCTCATTCCCTTTGCAGAGTGGACTCTCAAACAGTTCAATTTTTAGTAGCAAATTTCAAGTGGGGTTTCCACAAAATTTAATCCGTGACTTAGCCTCATCCATGGTATATAAACAAGGACAAGATTTTTATAATTTAGGCTCAAAATCTAACGGTGTTATAACATTATGGAAGTATGAAGAGGCGAGATTAAGACGTGGGTGACAGTTGGAATTTCGACCATCTGTGCTTCATTTCATTAGCAAAGGAAAAGGGGTGTGATTTTGAGTGAATTATTCTGCATAAAACATTGGGTTTCTCTCCATCATTAATTTTGCAGGATTCAGATTCATTTTCAATCAAAATCAAAGTATTCGTTAGGAACCGGATTCCAGTGCCAAGATTCTTTGCCTCCTCACTTTAATCCTAAAACCAAAAATCTCGGTTGGGACTTTTAACAAACACGTCGTCCACATCCTTGGGTTGGTTAGAAAGAACATTATTTTTCTTACGGATTGCTTTTGGGGCCAAAAGCAAAAAAAGAAGAGCCAAAGTTTTGGTCAGAAATAATAATAGGGACTCACCTTCGTCCTTCGTCATGGTGTTATCACAACATCTGACTGATACCTAAAAGGAAAATGTGTCTCTCTAGTTCCTTATCTTCAAATAGGGGTTTATAGACTGAGATCGAGCTGTGAGATTATTCAGAGGGTCAACTTTTGTATACAGAATATTATAAGACAGATGGAAAAACAAAATTTAATTAAAAATAACTATCAAAAGAAAAGGAAAAGAAAAGTTTTTCAACTCTCTACTAACTCCAAGAGGCAGAGACCTATTCAAAATTGCCTTTCTTTTTCGTCCCAACAAAACCCCGTCTTTCCCATTCACCAAATATATATCTTTCTTCTGCGGCTCAAAAAAAGTTGCTTCCGTTTTCAAATGAAAAACCCCCTTAAACAATTCACCCTTTTCAGTTATTTTTCTTCATCACTTAATTTTATTTTATATATCATTGGCCTGCCCTTCTTCTTTCTCTTTCTCAATGAGTTTCGAAATGTGCTCATTTTACATAAAAAGCCAAATCATATGCATCCCTTTTAAAAGGTAGCTGAAACTTGTTTCTTTGGTTTTATTAAAAGCCTCTAGATTGCCTACTTGCCATTCAAGGGAAAACACAAGATTCTCTTATATCATAAGGAAATTGTGTTCAGATATATGAACAAAATGTAATAGAATATTATTATTATATGGACAAAATATCACACCCCAGTTACTGAGTTTATTATATAATAATCTAAACTGGAAAAAGGAAAAAAAAAAAGATGGGTCCAATAATTCAAATGTGGATGGATGCAACTGAAAACCCAAAAAAAAAAAAGGTTGAGACGAGATAAACAAAAATAATAGATGTCCGCAACTTTGTCCAGTTAGGTGGACATTTTGGAATGGATTCTGTTTCACGTAAAGCTTTCCAAGTAATTGAAAAATGGAGCATTAAGGAAGAGGGAGAGGGAAATTTAGAATAATAATAATAAAGAAAAAGAAAAAGAAAGTGAAATTTAATTATATGTGTTAAGAATAAAGCTAGATCGCTAGCTAGATGAGAAGAATTCTTTGTTGCTTTGCTTTTATGGTTGCTTGCTCTCAATTAATTACATTATATATTACGTGGCCGTTTTCTCTCCCCATCTA